GATGGGTGCAGAGAAAGAGAGATATCATGTATACATACACACACACATATCCTATGACAGATAAGATATATCTTACATTTCTTACATTTATCTGTCTATCCCTCTATATAAAGACCTGGGCTCATGTGACTGTGGAAAATGGCAAGTCTGGGAGCCATGGGCAGGCCAGCAGCCCAGAAAATCAGGCAGGAATTGAGACGGCAGACTCAGGGCAGAATTTCTTCCCTAGGAAACCTTCATTTTTGTCCTTAAGGCCTTTGGCTGATTCCCTGAGGCCCCAACCCTGTTATGGAAGGTAACGTGCTTTACTTATTTTAGGTCTTCTTTTAACTGAGGTAAGGTTGGTTCCCTACATTATTTAAGTTTCAGGCATGCGACATTCTAATTCGACCTCTGTATACACTGTGCTGTGCTCGCCATACCAAGGGCCTCCGCCTGACCGCGGGCAGTTGACTCCCACTACCGTTTCACCCTCCCTCTACCCCCCTTACCCTCTGGTAACTACTGATCTTTTGTCTGCTTCTGAGAGTGTTTTTTCATTATTTTTGTTGTTTATTCATTCATTTTGTTGTTTTATATTCCACATATGAGTGAAATCATACGGTGGTTGTTATTTTCCAGCTGACTCATTTCACTTAGCATAATGCCCTCAAGGCCCATCCATGCAGTCGAAAATGGCAGGATTTCTAATGTGCTTTTACTTAAAGCCAACTGATGGTAGATGTTAACCACATCTACAAAATACTTTCATAGCAACACCTCGATTAGTGTTTGATTAGATATATAATTAAATAGTTTTATGTGTCCCCTACAGCCTGGCCAAGTGGGCACATAAAACTGTCAACACCTTTTAATTTGCTGAGTCCTAGTTCCCAGACAAAACACCTAACCTTCTTCTGGAAACATGACTGCTAAAGGACACTTTCCCATTTACTGGTAAGGTCATTTCCCTGCTTGTCAGTGGGGGACATAGGAAAAGAGAAATTAAGTTTTAAATTTTACCTTTTGAAAAGTTCTAGTCCCCCAAGAAACATTAAGAAATGGCCAACCTGGATAGGAATCTGGTCCCTGCGTAAACTGACCTCACCCACAGTATCTCTCTCCCTTCCAGAGCAACAATTAACCCTAACGGCGTTTCAGCAGCAGGGCCCCCCACAGGGGGTGCTGAGTTTCTCTTCCTTGTATGTCAAGAGTCTATTCAAGCGTTTCCATTGGCCAAAGTGCTCACTCTAGCCCTGCAGGGAACTTGTTATCATTATCTGGCAACAGGAATTTTGCATGCACCCCCTCAGGCCTTTGGTTCTGCCTAAACCAGCTGCCACTGAACTGAGCCTGTTACTAAAAAAAAAAAAAAATGTACACACCAGGAAAAAAAAAGAGAGTATTACTTTCCCTGAATTATCGATTCTGCCACATTCCACATACAAATAAAGCCTTTAAGTTATTCATGCTGGATCAATCAAAAGTCTTGGTGCCAAAGATGTGCTAATTCTCTAAACTGATTGGTCTGCCCCCCTCAGGGCTCCTTTCTCCCTCGTCACCACCCCAAATGAAGGTACGTGAAACAGACTTCCAAGATAATTGGGTGATTTCAGCTCATACTTTTAAAACTTAAAGATATCCTTTTCATATGGTGCTATAAAAGTACTTTGGAAGAGTAATTAAAGACTAAAAAATAAAACGCTGTGAGCCAGAAGAAAAAAAGATCAATGGAAGCGTTCTAACTCGAGTGCCCTGTCCCTCCGAGCAGGAAGCGCACAGGCAGCTTTCCCACAGAGCCCAGCTCTTTGACTCTCTGCTGCCTGGAAATCCAAGTGCTGCCTCCTCAACTGAATTAAACACAGAAAATGGCCTCTACTTCTTCACTAGCACAGTGCTGGGCATTCTGGGGACTAAAGGCGGCAGACCTGACCAAACAGGAGAGCCAGGCCTCATCGCTGAAACCAAGAAACAGAACGGTAAATCTTCCCCATTAAATTCCAGTATCTAGTCTAGCATCTGGGAGAGTGCTGACTAGAAAGCTGCCCTCAGGCCCCTCTAGACTCTACCTTGTTTCCATCGCTTCAGAGGATAAACTACTGTTTTATTCAGAGCATCAATACAGTATAGCCTAGCAACAAACATGGACTTTCTTCCTGTACTTGAAAGACCACATAGGAATACGTAAGGAATCTCATGCTGCCCTAAGGTTTGGCCATCCCTGCAACGAGAATATAATGAACACTCGTTACACTGAATTTGAGATGTGCCCAGCAGTCTTTTTCTGAGTTCAAAGTGCTTAATCTCATTAGCTATCAGATGCCATGTCTAATCCGATGTTCAGACTCAAGTCTGCTGTGTAATTGGGTTCAATGAGTATATTTAACAATAAAGTATGTATTGGCCCCATAGAGAAGTTAGATATCGTAGAAGAATCCATTAACCAACCTGGAGACAGAGGAAAGGGAACAAAACTTCATACATTTCTCAGTACAGCCTGGAAAACAAACCAGATCTAAACCCAACCAAACTTCTGAACACAAAGGTGTCACAGTTCAGCAAGTGCCCTGAAGTTCTACAGAATCCTACATAATACACATTAGATTCCTCTGTTCATTCATTTGATAAGCACTTATTCATTGATCACCTAGTTGTGTACTAGTTGTGCTGGGTGCTTGTCGGGACAACCGATGTCAGTGATAACCCTAGTCCCTGCCCTCATGGAGTCCCGTCTCGAGATGACTCTGATAAAAGACTACAGACCAACCTAATTCACTTGAACATATAATTGACATACCTTTTATTTCCTGGAATCCCAAATAATTAGCAGTATTTATTTAATCATTCATTCTAGGAACTTAAGTCTAATTCTACTTCATTTAATCCTGTTCATTATATCTCAGTCCTATCCTATACAATTACTGTGATGTCCCCAAGCCTCATTACAATAGATTGTTGAAGACTGCTGAAGGTGGAGGAAAAGGAGAACTTGCAATCACGAATGCCTATTGTAGGCCAGCCCTTGCGCTAAGTAAAAACTGAAGCAACTCATTTAATGGTTCTCAGAAGTGGGTGTTATTATGTATCTCCCTACAGGCGAGGAGACTGAGGTTGACAAAGAAGTATGAGAGAAAGAGAGAACAGGTAAGTAGCAGGACTTAGCTTCAAAACTGGAATTACTACTGACCCAGAGGCCTACGTTCATCAAGGTTCCTGATCAAGCATCGTGGATGTAAAAGGCTATACAAATAATACAGTGTCCACCCTATGACATCCTACATCTTTAGTCATTCACTGGCTGTGTGGTCTCAGGAGGATTACTAGGAGGATTTTGACATGACAGGTACATGACAGGCCCCCCCAAAAAGTGCTAGGGATAATGACGATGATAATGATTAACTCACTAAGATCAGAAGAAAGAAAATAACCATTTGGACTTGTACCTAACACGCTCCCTACAGACAGCCGCAAATGCCCAGTAACAGTGGCAACCTTAAGAGAGAGAGCCCAGCGTCCCAGGATGACTCTGGCTTGCAAAGACTCAAATGATGTTTATTTTGCAGGTAAGAATTTTTTAAAAGAGGCGTTTCCTTTTATATGTGGTTTGCTCAAACATGTCTTCAGAGGAAACTTAAAGCTAAAGTTTAAGAAACCGGGGGAGCAGGGCAGGCAGGATGATCAGCATAGTATTCCGTGTTTCCCATAAGCAGATGCTGGTTTGTAAGCATCCTGTGACCCTTGAGGAAAGAAGGTGCTATCCTTCTGCAGTCCATTGAGCTAAGCATTTAGCTAATCGAGGCAGTGATTTGAGAGGAAGTAAAGGACCCAAATCTAGTTTAAAAGATATATTAGTTCTACAACATTTCAGTGTAATTATTATTTATTTAGACATCCCTAAATACTGTGCCATGACTATGTAATTCTATGTTCTGCTGAGGGCTCAGGAAATGACTGGGGTTTAATGCAGTTTCAACAAGCCACAGCAATTTCCCATACAGAACGCCCACAGCCATCGGTCCTTTCTCTAGACATCTTAAACTATTGCTCGGGTATAACCAAACAGCATACTCCCAAGAGGGAAGCAGAGGGAGCATTCTGCGCACCCATTTGAAAATGAGGTAGCTAAAGCCCACAGGGAACTGGTCACTAGCCTAAAGATCACACAAGTGCTCAGAACTGAAGGGAATGACAGCAGTGGAATCTACATCTCCCAACCTGAGGTCCAGGCTCAGCCCAATGAACACTAAAGATGTTCAGATCGCCCACCTCCACAGCAACCAAGCACTCTAGGAACTAGCACCTGAGACAGCCATGCTAAGAGGGTAGGGCTGAACTCCTGAAACTGAGGGACCCTGACTGTAGGCGGTTGGGCCTTGGGCAATGGGGAGGGGTGGGCTAAAAAGGAAAGGACCGTACGAACTAACCCACGCACGTGAACACCGCTTTAGGGTTACTGAGGCGTCCCTGCTACCTACCACTAACAGCTAGGAAATCTCATTTGAATATTTTGAAGGTGAGAGGATGGCTCCTCCTATCTTTCCCCTTCTTCAACATATATTCTGTACCTCCTACCCCAGAGTTTGTATGAGGAGTCCTTTCCCCCATTTTAATATTTATGCAGTGACTCTGCATTCATCTAAGTTTCTGGTTGTTCTATCAGCACCTTTGCAATGAATCTCAAATACTGGAGAGTCAAAGGTGGTTACCAATCTTGAGCTATATACACTTGAAATACTGTGAAATTGAGAGTCAGACTTAATTCCATTAAGAACAAAAGTAACACTCCACTGAATTACCAATAATCACATCTATAGTAAGTCTGAGTGTTATTTTTTTGGATTGGCACATTCCTGCCCATTATTTTAAAACATAATTATTCCTTTGGCTTCAAGAAGTTTACAGCTCACCCGTTAGATGCAATTTAGTAACAAGCTACTTGCCCCCTTCACCCTATTGCCCCTCGGACACGCCTACCACCTGTGACCCAGCTCAGAGCATGGGGAACAAGAGACCACACCCACCTTTGTCCAAACATCAGTGTTGATTTGGTCTCAGCTTCATTGAAGACAGAAGGAGAACAGCAAATAACTATAGTAGTTCTACAGTTCCCACCCAGGGAGTCCTGAAGAATCCGAGTCATCTTGCTGTCCCGATACGGCACGTGTGTTTTCTATTTAGGAAGAAAAAGTATTGGCTGTTACAACTCATTCCAGAAACAAAAAACAAAAAAACCCACAGAGGCGAGCAAGTTAGTGATGAGGACACTGAGTCATGTGTCCTCACATGTTTCATGTGTTTGAAACATGTGTTCTTTGGATCTTGCCAAAGTTCAGCATGCCATTCTGGGACTGGGATCACAGGAAATTAGCATTGCCATTCACACATTTTAGTGGACTAGGTCTCCCAGCAAGCAAGGTGTCCACAACCAAGACTCCTTCCGTCCCTCTCCAGGCAGAAACCGGCAAATCTCTGGAGTGTGTGGAAAAGAGCATGTGGACCCAAAAAGGCAACTTTTCATAATATCATTTAATATATGGGGACAGGATCACTTACTGTCCCCTCTGCCAAGGCAGAGATCACGTTTCCAAGAGCAGACAAAGACTTATTGATATTTTTAGCTTCGTCGAGAACAGCTCCCTCGGCACCAGTTTTGCTGACCTACGAAAGAGAAATCAGTGAGCTGCACAGTACAGCAAAAGCACAGTAGAAAATTCCAATTCACAGGAGGGCGGGGCGGGGGAGGGGTGAATCCTCCTGGAATGCAAGGAAAAATAAAAGTAAGTAAGAATCACATTGATAAAACCTTCCCTTGTGCCTGAGACTGGGGATTTGTTCTCTCTCGTTGTCATTTTCCTCTCAATTAGGTTTTAGGGGAATGGCTGAAATGCCTCAAGTGGTGGAGCTGCAGATGCTTCCCCGGGGGACATCCATCCAGGAAAAGCAGGCTCTGAAAGCGCTGTCTCTCTGAAAATGCCGGCCCCGGGCCCTGGGACACTGAACCGCAGTCGCCACTGCAGACAACCCTGGGGAGGCTTTAAGAGGAAACTCTGTGTGGGCCACAGTGAATGGACATATTGGGGAAGCATAAGCTATAAGCTCCAATTTCGGGCAAAAGGAGGTGGTGGGGGTGGCTGTCCAGACTCTCTCTTCCTTCCCCACTTACCCATAGCAAGGAAAAAAAAGGAACAATTATCCAAAAGAAAAAAACTAATTTTTTTTTTTTTGGTCATTAACACAACTTTAATTAATAGTTTAGATAAACAATTAGAAAAGAGTTTAACATCAACTTCTGAAAAGTCACATTTGCATAAAGGAATTAAAACAGGCAGTAGAAGTCCAACAAAGGTACAGCTTATAATATTGAGCTTGGATGAAATATACTGTTCAAGGTAGCCCAATACATAGGCTCCACAAGGCCAGGAAAAACAGAGAGGACAAAGCCCCAGGCAGTATTTATTCTGGATTCCAAACTTTCCAGTGGCCTCGGAAACATTTTGAATTTTTTAAACATTCCATGAGAGCTCCTTACAAAAATGGCTGCTGTGTCTTCAACATTTTTCTTTAGGTATGAAAAGTCAAGAATATGTTTATCACATTGAGAATTTGCCTTTTTTCCTCTGCAGCCAGAGGGAGCACGTGCAGTTCCTCCTCTGCTGTGTGATTACTGGTAATTTTGTATTTATAGTATTTGCTGTAGGGAGAGCAGTTTACAGGTGCTGGAAAATAGGGGAACGCAACATGATTCATAGCTCTACTGATGGGACAAACAATATGGGGTCAGCAGCTGCTGTCTAAAGAAAGAAAAGTGGGAAATAATTTTTAACTGCACAAAGACGGGTTTCAATTATGTATAAAGAAGAAACTCCTAACAACAAAGATGAATGGACGTCCGGGGGAAGACTTTTTTCACAAAGGACAGATTCTCATCTCTCTGGAAATTGTGTGTGTGGGTCTCCCTGCTCACAGATGGAGAAATGACACAGCTGATGGGCCACAAATACCAAGAGTCTATTCACAGGGTGTTAAGATGCTTTTATGTTTGAGCATCTTAACTCCATGAAATATGCAAGACAGGTACAATCAACTTCCTTTTACAGACAAGGAAAATTTAAGCTCCAGAGCTGTTAGATTGTCAGCCTCGGGGAAGAATACCATTTAGAGGAATCGGGGACTAAAGCCCAGAGTTCTGTTCTACTAGATCACACTGACACATTCATGCAGACACATCTAGGGCAAAGGAAAACAGATGTGAGGAAAAACAAACAAACAATGGTGTGTGGGACCACAACTTTAAAATGCCTCATAAATATCATAAGCAAGAACCATCAACCCTGCACAGAGGACAGGCTGCCACTCTAAACTGCCAGCATTTCGCATTTTTCAGCTGCATTTAGGCTCTAAATACTCATCCCCATGCTATAAGGAACAGAGGGCTCCCTGAGGAGGAGCAAAGGGGCGATAGCGCTCCTGGTCTGAACCCATGCAGCTGCTGTGGCAGCAAAGGGGATCCTGTTGGCCACTGTTAGTCTAGAACTAAGAAATGCTGCTCCCTACTCCCGTTCTGGTGGGTGTCTATTTAAAGTTACAGACCCATACCAGTTAAATTTTCCAACCAGAAATATCCAGATGATTTTCTGCTCATAGCTTTACAATGAGTCCAAGAGAACAATCCAAGTAGCCATTACTTACAAGGATATCAGTGGCCATAACTCGGCATCCAGCAACTCACTAGTGGGGTGCACTTAAGTGGGGATCAGTTCCACAGTTCAGGAGACTGACTGAGCTTCAGGGCCAGCCCCGTGGGGAAAGACAGTGATGATGGTGGAGAGGCCACGTGGTATTGCGCTCATGGGCTTGCTCTGTTATGTTGCCCAAGAAGGGAAAATTCCCCCCAGGAGCCTCTGGTGGTGCCATGGAAGTGAGGCTGGAGGGGGCAGGTGGGAGGTTCTCGGAGGCCTACTTGGTCTGGAGTATGGCCTTAGCCAGGGCTTGGGTGAACATGGGACAGGATATAGATGCCTAACAAAAGCCCTGCCAAAAAAACAGAGAAGAGCTGGGGCTGATAGCTAAAGCACTGGTTAAAGGCCTCAGGACCTGAAGGAAGAAGTAAGGCTGCCCACGTGAGACACCATCTCCATGCCTACTGCAGAGAGAAGCAGGGAAGGCAGGGAGAGCACCAGGCTCCAGGTGTACCAGCAAACACGCCTGCTAGTAGAGGCCAGAAAGGACCACCACATTCCAATGCTTTGTCCTTTCCTGGCCTATTTGAGTCTGGGACAGCACAGAGCTTTTTCCTTTCCTCCGAAGTGCATGTCCTTCCCGCATTTGCGAAATTGCCTTTGCCAAGCTCAGTTCACACCAACACTTGCCTAATGTCATTATCAGAGCCTATTAGGCATAAATCAGAGTTGACATTCAAAGCGCGTCCAGTGATGTGAATAGGGGACTTCAGGAACGGAAAAGAATGAGCAGGGAAACAAAGGTTAAATTTAATAACATCTTGGTGCAACATCAGAAACTTTAAAAGCTCTTTAAACCCAGGACATAGAAAGGCATAAAAATTATACCATTGCACAGTGAAGCAAATAACAGGGGGAAATTATAGCTAATACAAATAAAGAACCAATTACCTTTTCGCTCCCAGCCAAATCAACTAGATAAAGCTTCCCACTGAGTTTTTTTTCAGTCTCTACATTCTCTTGTTTAATATTAATCAGGAAGATACTGTGACTTCTGGAGCTGTGTTCATTCATGTCTGAAAAGGAAAATAGTTTATTGCTCTACAAAGAGCACATAAATTTAGGTAGCAAGACTCTCAGCTGAAAAGCACAACAAATCAGGCCTAATAGCTCCATTTTTTAAAATCCACCCGATTTTAAAAGTTATCTGAGACAGCCCAGCCAGTGTGGCTCAGTTCGTTGGGCATCGTCCTGCAAACTAAAAGGTTTCCAGTTCAGCTCCCAGTCAGGGCACATGCCTAGGCTGCTGGTTTGGTCCCTGGTCAGGGCACTTATGGACAGCAGCCAATCAGAGTTACTATCTCACATCAGGGTTTCTGCCTCTCTCCTCCTCCCACCCTTCCCCTCTCTCTAAAATAAAAAATTTTTAAAAAGATTAAATAATGATAAAATTATGAGATCACCATTTCCTCTTAAAAACAATGGAAGATTTTAAATACCTTTAAGTAGTTAAGAAATTAATCTAAATTCTTAGTCAATGATTTAAGATACAGATTCTCTACTTCCGCCTAAAGAAGACCCTTCCTCCAACATCCTACACTAGCTTGGCTGTCTCCTTGAAGAGCTCACAGCTTCTTCCCTACCTCACTTCAAGTCCATTAGCCTTTATCATCATGCTTAGTACCTGATATATCCCATCTTCTTCATGTGTGGAGTGTTGCCTTATGAGTAATATTGGAAACTTCCTTGAGAAGTCATGGATTAAGACATACACTCCTTCTATAATCCATGCTAGGTACCTAGAAGGTCTCGAAGATTAAATATGCTCGACTAGAACTGAGTACGGGCAATAAAAATCTTCCTGGGCCCCAGTCTTTGCTCATCCGGCAGGCAGAGACCCCAGAGATTGTCTTATTCAACCCCCACTAGCAATCAGTTCTTAAATCTATCTTACCACATTATACGGAGAAAACCCCCGAAGATTCCTCAAATAATATGTTAGAATAAACAAATTCAGCAAAGTAGCAGGATACAAAGGTAGCACATAAAAGTAAGTTGCATTTCTATATACTAACAATGAATATTCCAAAAAAGAAATTAAAGAAAAAATCCTATTTGAAATAGCAATTTAAAAAGATATTTAGAAGTAAACTTAACCAAGGAAGCAAAAGACTTGTACACTGAAAACTGTAAAATGTTGCTAAAAGAAATTAAGACATAAATAAAGGAAAAAACATTCATGTTCATGGATTAGAAGGAGACTTAATATTAAGATGTCAATACTATTAAAAGTAATCTACATATTCAATGTAATCTATCAAAATCTTAATGATGCATTTTGTAGAAATAGAAAAATCCATCCTAATTCGTATGAAATCTCAAGGTACCCCAAAGAGCCAAAACAATCTTGAAAAGAAACAAAGTTGGAGGTCTCACACTTATACAGTAATCAAAACAGTGTGATATTGACATAAAGACAACTATAAATTAATGAAATAGAACAGAGAGTCCAGAAATAAACCCTCACATAATACAGTCAAATAATTTCCATAAAAATGGCAAGACCAGTCAATGGGGAAAGGATAATCTCTTTAGCAACTGGTGCTGGGAAAACTATTAATCCACATGCAAAAATAAACACACACACACACACACACACACACACACACACACACACACACACAGGGATTCTTACCTTAGGCCACACAAAAATTAGGTCAAAAGGATCAAAGACTCAAACAGGAAAGCTAAAACTATAATATCTTAAAAGAAAACATAGGGGAAAGCTTCATGACACTGGGTAGGCAATGATTTGTTGGATGACAACAAAAAACATAAGCAACAAAAAAAATAATGAACTGGACTTTCAAAATTAAAAACTTTTATGTATCAAAGGACTCTATCAACAGAGTAAAAAGACAACCCACAGAATGAAAGAAAATATTTGCAAATCATATATTTGATAAGGGACTGACCTATAATATACCATATTTTGCTATGTATAGTGCATACCTTTTCACCCAAATTTTTGAGGAAAAAATAAGGGTGTGCATTACACATGGGTAGTACTAATTCCATATTTATATAAATGATTTAAATTCTTTTATTTATGCTTATATGTTAAAAGTGTAACTCCTTTAAAATTCTTTTATAATACAAAAAACAAGTATCTAAATATAAATAAATTAAAAAATTGAATTAAAAAGCTAAAATGAAAGATTTTTTCCCTGAAAGTCTGTGCCAAAAATGTAGGTGTATATTATACACAGGAGCACATTATACACAGCAAAATACTCGTACAAATGAACAATAACAAAACAACCAACCCAATTAAAAAATGGGCAAAGGACTTGAATAGACATTTCTCGAAACATGTACAAATGGCCAATAACCACATAAAAAGATGCTCAACATCACTAATCATTAGGGAAATACAAATCAAAACCACAATGAGATAGCACTTCCCATCCATCAGGACGGAAGGAAGGAAGGAAGGAAGGAAGGAAGGAAGGAAGGAAGGAAGGAAGGAAGGAAGGAAGGAAGGAAGGAAGGAAGGGAGGGAGGAATGGAGAAAAACATGAAAAATATCAAGTGTTAGCAAGGATGTGGAGAGACTGAAACTTTTATGCATTGTTGGTATGAATGCAAATGGTGCAGCTGCTATAGAAACAGTATGGCAGTTTCTTAAAAAATTAAAAGTAGATTTTCCATATGAGTGGAATTGTTGAATCGTATGGTTTCAATTCTACCGAAAGAACTGAAAGCAGAAACTTGGACATGTATTTACACATCCATGTTCATAGCAGCATTTTTCACAATAGCCAAAAGATAGAAGCAACACAAGTGTCCATCTATGGATAAATGGATAAACAAAATGTGGTATATAATACATACAATGGAATATTGTTTAGCCTTAAAAAGAAAAAAATCTAACACATGATACAACATGGATGATCCTTGAAGACATTATGCTAAATAAGTGAAATAAACAGGTCATAAAAGTTGTACTATTCCACTCATATGAGTACCTAGAGTTGTCAAGTTCATTGAGACAGAAAGTAGAATGGTGGTTACCACGGGCTGGAAGGAGAGAGTATGGGGAATTATTTATTCAATGGGTGTACAGAGTTTCAAAATTCTGGAAATAGTGATGATGACTGCACAACATTTTGAATATACTTAATGCCATTAAATTGTACATTTAGAATGGTTAAAATGGTAAATTCTATGTTATGTGTATTTTACAACAATAATTTTAAAAACCACCTTACCAGAATGATAAGGAAAATAGTAATGTTCTGAACCAAAAGTTCTGAACCAAGGGGCCAAGATGGCTTGTCAATTATACCATGAATAATTCATTATTAACAACAGCTTAAGAAACTAAGTGAATAACTTCTCTATAAATGAGAGATGCTATTACTATAAGAAGATGAGTCTTGCATTTCTTCATGTTTGTGTATGTCAGCATTTTTGTTTTAAGCAGACGAGAAAGAGAGTTTAACCTACACTGTATACAAGTCTAGGCCCACCTATGAAATTTGCCGCATATATGAATGTTACCTGGTAAGTTTGTTGTGGTAGAGCAAAGGTTGAGAATTACAGTGCTGGACCACAGAATCATAGAACCCTCGGTGGAAGAGATTTAAAAGAGACTATATCAATCAATCGACCAACACTTGAATCTCTTCTACAACATACAGGGAACTCACTATTTCTCCAGGTAGCAGGCTTTAACCAGAGCAGGACTAGAGAGTCTTTTGGAGGCAAAAATCTGCCTTCCTGTAGCTTCAACAATCCTGGGTGGTCTACCCATTCAGATCAAGTAAAGCAAGCTGACCCTTTCTTAATGTCAGCACTTTGAACATGTTAAGAAATACTGCGTTGTCCACGTGTCTTCTCCAGGTGTATTTCTCTCTTCCAAGCTAGAAAGCCTTCACTCTTCCAGGTCCTCTTCATATGAAGACACTCTCATTTATCCATATCTTTCTGAATAAGGCAGCCCCCATCTTTTCATGGAACCTTTGCCATTCAAACACCATATGACCTGCTTCCCTGAGATGTATGCACATGCCCAAGGTGGAACTAAAAAGTAAACAAGCTGGCCTGAATGTGTTATTAACACAGCATCGGAAAGGTCACAATAATGCACCCAGCTCCACTTTCTGAGTTCCTCCTTGCTTTTATTTCCCTTTTATACAAAGAGCAGAACTCTAATGTTTCTTTCCATGTGTATGACTGTAGAATTTGTGGGTTTAGATTTTTTTTAAATGCCTGAACAATATAACATGGTTAAAATAAGTGAACCTATAAGCTTACATTTTCCCCACTTTGGTTGGTTGGTTGGTTGGTTGGTTGGTTGGTTGGTCGGTTGGTTGGTTGGGTATTTTCCCCAGGATTCAGGCTTAAGCTGTTACCAGGTTCCAATGCGTCCCACCCGATACTGCCAAGAGCTCCCTGGACAGCTGTTTCCCACGACCAACCTAGATACACTGCACACGCCCTGTGTCTGTGTCTGAGGCAGGGCTTCCAACCGCCTTCCCATGCGTTATTTCATGTGGACCTCATTATCCGTCCCTCCTGGTGGGAAGGCAGACATTTGTATCCAAAGTTAGAAGGGAGGAAACACCACATCATGCTTACTTGTTACAGCCACATGTCGGTTTGCTTTGCCTTCATCTATCACATCCATGACCTCCTCGGGGCTGGACACAAACCGCTCGGTGCACCCCTGCAAGAGTCAGTTCGGGTTCACCATTAAAAAACTGAAAAGCAACACTACTTTGAAACAACCAAGTATATTCCCATTTCTCCTCTAGATGTGCAGATCAAGACAAGGGCTGCAATACTGATCCAACGACTTTCCCCCCATGCCTAAGGCTTGAATTCTACATTAAAAAAAAAAAGTCTGAGCAACCCCTAGGAAACCCAGAAATGAACCAGAAATGTCAATTTCCCTATTTTTTGAGTACATATTCAAACTCAGCAGCAGCAAAGGCAGCACTAAAGAGGAAAATCAATGACAGAAACAGAAATAGATGAAGTTCTGCTTTGCCTTCCATCTTTATTTATTACCATCTAGCCACCAACTTTAATTAGACCCTTTGAAGTGCTACACATAATACTAGACGAGGCTTCCCCTAACAGCAGAGTACAAACAACTATACTTAATACCAAAGCCCCTATAAATGTGAATAAATGTCTACTGACTTCCACTGTTCTTACCATGTGATTAAACATTTGTGACACATTCATTCACATAGTCACATAGAGAGATATGATTGCAGAAATTAAATGTCTAATTTTTTAACCAGGTGAATTTTAAATATAAGGAACACAATTAAATATCTCTATGTGCTTCATATACATAATATTCTGGGCATCTTATGTACTAATTTTTATGACAGTGACTGGAGATAAATTACTTGCATCATCAATCAAGTTTTCCTCATACCTTTACATACGGAACTCTGTTTTTATCTTCATGAACAGCCAAGTTTGTCTTGGATACTATAGAGATAAAAATGATGACATGCAAAGAAGGAAAAAAATGTTAAAGACCCTATATTGGAGGAAAAATAGAAATTGTTACAAAAGACATGCAGATCTAATCTCTTTGCATATAGACACACACACACACACACATACACACACACACAAGTTTAAGCCTTAGCCAAGAATAAGCAGATAGCCTGAAGGCAAAAGAACATCTCTATACATTTCCATTAATTCCTTAAGCAGAGGTGCTATATGTCAACTCAACTCCCTAGACTTCGGAACAAACAAAGGACAAGCACTCCGGTTACTTACCATCAAGTAAGTCTCTGATTTTGTCCAAGTAGATCTCAAAATAGGAAACCTGTTAAAAGCAAATTGAGTTTGAAACAGAAATGTCACACTGTATTACAAAAATATCACTATGAGAACGTATAAAAAGCTTTTTTCATGCATTAGCTAGGAAGAGTAAGAAAGAGGGATCCAGAGTGAAGATCCAGAGGCACGGCGTGCAGAGATCCCCTGCTTCCCGCGGGGTCAGCCTGCTCCGAGGGCCAGCTCGGCGTGGGCCACTCTCCGTCCCCCCACATCACAGCTCCCTATCATTAAAATTCAGGTGTTATTGACCTCCTGTGCGAGACAGCCACTTACAGGAAGGATCTAACATGTTACCTTAGATGAACGGGTAAAATAGAAAACATTCTTTGCAAGTAATTGTCAAAAATCAGGGGGCCTTACCTTATGCATGATACTGACAGCCTCCTCAGATCAGGGTGGGAGCACAGCCCAAATATTCAAGGAAGTAGGGTCGGGGGTAAAGGCAGTTTGCTTAGAACTAAAAAATCTCAGGAAAGTCACTGGGAGAAAAATCATGATGGTGGCAGGCTTGGCGAGTCCAGGATGGATTTGAACAAAACATGATTTAATGAAAAACCACTAGACTGTAAGAGGGAAAGAAAGCCTTCCAACCAATTATTCACAAACCTTAGCCCAAGCCCTGCCTACATCAGCATCTCCCACAGTATCTGTTTAAATTGCAGAGCCCTGAACCCGACTGCAGTCCCCCTGAATCAGAATTTCTAAGAAGGGGACCCAGGAATCGGTGTCTAAACTCCCCAGGTGATTCATATAACGGCTACCGTCTGAGAACAACTTGAATGAGATGTGATCTTGAAAATTCAATTCACATGTGACCAAGATCCTAGGCCTCAATCTTCCCATCTATTAAATGAAGCCATTAGACTTGACAATGTCAAAAATTCCCTCCAGGATTTTCCATTCTGCCTACATTGGCCTTCTGCCTCCCAGATCAAATTTTCTCTTTCATGGGTACTTTTTTTTTTATCCAAACAAAGCAATGGACAAAAGTTATTTTTTTAAAAAGTTGAAAACTAGTTGTAAAGGTGGGATGTGATTCTACAGGTGAAAGAAACCTCACCCCCAGTCTCGCCTCTAGTTGGGGCAGCAAGTAAAGCCTCTGTCACCTGGCACCGGCCCTAACCCGGTCCAGCCCCGGTGCATTATCTTTCATCTGCATCTCAGCCTGCAACCTCCTGACTCCCTCGTTTCTCTTGAGATCAGGGGTCCTGACTTCAACCCCTGGAATCCGTAGCAGGGCATCCCCTTCAGGTTGTCTGTCTCTCCAACAACCTCTGCCTGCACAAATGTCTGTCAAACTTCCCTGTCACTGAGCCTTGTCTGCAGGGATACACCCACCTGACCTGCAAAAGAATCACCGCTCCCATGGAATCCTATGGGCCTGTTTGGCCTCTAATCTCAGACGTCGCTCCGGGACCCAGCCCTTCCTACAGCTAACTCTACCCTGGTCCCAACCCATTCACTGTATTTCAGAATTGTCTGGCTTTCAGTAAGACTTTTCTATTGTCTTTGAGATCTTAAACATGTGCCCTTATTTTCATAAGGTGTAGAGAGAATTAATTATATCTAAAAAACAGTCACTGAGCTAGATATAAGCAAATCTCTCAATTACAATCCTGTCTACACTTAATATCAGTGGAAAGAGAATTCTCATTTATTCATTTTTTTTTTTTTACCACAACAAATCCTGGCTGTTTTGGGGGGTGGTTAGTTTGGTTATTTTGGTCACTTCAAATACTTTGTGAGGCCAGGTAAAAGAAAAACAAATAGATATTGTTTGGCATTAAGAAAAAGCATATTCAGAAATGTTTAAACCCACGGTGGGACCTACTTTCAGGAACAGATTTTTAATATTGCCTTAATCAAGCTTTTTCTTGATTAGGCCTGTCATTACTCAGTTCAAAATAGGGAGTAGTCGATAGCTAACTTGCCCACTTAACCATTTCTGATGATTCATAAATATCACTTATGAAATAAGTAAGCACAACTATAAATGCAAGATGGGAAGCTGGACAGTAAAATTCAGCCCTGGAGACTGAGGAGTTGCTTCTTCTCCTCCTGCCCCTTCATGCTGGGGCTGTTTTTATCTTAATAAGATTCTAATAGGAGACCATATTTTGAAGGCAGTAATTGGTTTAACATCTTATTCCAGGATTATCCCATAAGAACCCTACAGTAGTCTGAGGTATTTAAATGCAAATAGCCTTAAAGATGCACTAAGCTCCTAAATCTTGATCCCATCAAAGCAATAAGCTTCTGCATCCTTAGATATAAAGAACCCTGGCAAGAAGCTGCTCTAGCCAACAAAGGGAACTACAAGGAAAAAAATTTACCAGATGCAATTTAAAATTGGGTGAACAACTATTGCCTTGTTTTTTTATTTTTTCATACGTTATTAGTGTGTGTGTGTATGTGTGTGTGTATGTTTTAAAGATTTTATTTATTTATTTTTAGAGATAGAGGAAAGGAGAAAGAGAAGGATAGAAACATCAATGTGAAAGAGAAACATAAATCAGTTGCCTCCCAGATGTGCCCCAACCAGGGATCAAACCTGCAACCGAAGCATGTACCCCGACCAGTAATCAAACCACAGACCTTTCGCTTTGTGGGACAACACTCAACCAACTGAGCCACAGTGTTAGTGCCTTTAGGAAAGGTACTTCGCAGAAAATAAGAAGGGTAGAAGTTTAATATAATAGAAAAGGTATTCCATGTGTGGTAGGTGAGGTTGAAAGTTTAATCTCAATTCTGCCAATGACCTGATCTGTAACTTTGGACATCTGGAGCTATGTCTTTGAACTTCCATTTCCTCATCTCTAAAACGGAGGGACCAGTGGAATAAGGTCCCAGCCTTTAAAGGTTCAGCCTCTTGATTGATCTTCTCGCTCCACATCTTCTTAGAAATGCCCTTTATCCTCCCCACCCCCATCTACCCTGTCCCCACCGTGGTCCCACCACAGTGGGATCAGTCAGCCATGTACATACTGGACACAGCTAATCAGAGCTGGGGGTCGCCTGGTCACCTACTGTAGGCTGGGCCAGTGAGCCAACTTCCTTTGCAGTTAGGAATGAGCAATAAGGGAATGTGGAAAAGGAGCTGCCATGGTACGACACCCTCCACCCCCCAAAAAAAGAAAGCGGGAAGTCAGAAATGCAGGGTGATCGTGGTTATCAATTTTGGAAAGAGACTAAAAGCCATCAAATTGTATACTTTAAAGGGGTGAATTTTACGGTATGTGAATTTTAACTTAATTTTTTTAAGTTAAAAAGAAAAATAGGACCTGGATTTCTTGCTTTTGCACAGCTCCTCTCCCCTATGCCTGCTACCAGATTCTGTATCTTAAGAACAACTTTCTCTTTTTGCTTAAACAAGTGGCTTTCAGTCACTTGCAAACAAAGAAGTTCTGCTCTGGCTGGTATGGCTCAGTGGATTGAACACTGGCCTGCAAACCAAAGAGTTGCTGGTTCCACTCCCAGTCAGGGCACACGTCTGGGTTGTGGGCCAGTAGGGGGCATGTGAGAGGAAACCACACAGTGATGTTTCTCTCCCTCTCGTTCTCCTTCCTTTCCCCTCTCTCTAAAAATAAAATAAATAAAATCTTTTAAAAAAAAAAAAAGCAAAGAAGTTCCAATGAATATATCCCAAATACCAAACATGATGAATTTAAGCAAAAACAGGGGTTCTGGTTTAAACACACACATGCACGCGCGCGCGCACACACACACACACACGAAGAAGAGAATTCACTTTCCCAACATTTCTCACAGTATGCTCTTCAAAACACTATTCTGTCATAATCCATGGGAAAAAAAATATGTCCAGTCAAGCTGGGAAATGTAATACCCTCCGTGTCCCCTTTGCAGAATCACATTACACAATAGCATATTTAAACTTGTGACACATTTAACATTGTTCAACAAAGTATGGTTCCCAGCTTATCTGGCCACATAAGCATTTTCCCTGGTAAACCACATATTAATAATATGAGGGACAGTATTCCATGGAACACAGTCTATGGACCTGTTCAGTCATATCTAGAGAAATCCACAGGGTAAAGGGCAGAAGTCGAGCAGCTGTTAAAATGATTCCATCTTAAAGAGGGCTTTTCCTTTACCTTGATATCTCAAGCAAACCATCCAGATTGCTAAGTATTACCTTAATCATTAAGTAAAAAATACAGCTCTGCTTACCACAGAAATGTCATTTAAATTAGATAAGATCATCTTTTTTACACGTACAAAATATGGGGAAAACACACTTACTTTTGGACCCTGTTTCTTTTCTAAGGTCTCAATCCACGGTACTGACCTTAATGTGAAACTCTAGGTTTTCATCCATCGAATAGATGTGGTCGAAGATGTCGTGTGCGATCCTTGGGATGATCCCCATGAGCTGAGGGTCATGCAGCTTCCCCTAATGGGTGAAAAACACAAACACGGGTGCTAAAGAGTGCTGGGAAACACGTGAGACGGAGAACAGACCACACCTGCGGGGTTTCTTAAACCAAACTTTGTACAACAGGAGCACCCACACATGGACCGTCTGCTCCCTTGGAGCTCTACCTGACATGCCAACAGACCAAAAGTTAGCGAAACAACTCAACATGCTGGCCTCATTTCCTGGCAGGGGGAGCTTGTTCTGTCAGGTTGTGAAACCCGACAATATTCCTTCCTGCTGCCACTCAAATCAGTGAGCACATGAGTCGGTGAGTAGGAAGGGGGAAGAGAAAGAAGAATTACTGAGAATATATAGGTGACTGTAACATTCTAAAATGTGGGTTTTGTTTTTGAATTTTTACAAACTGAACAGAACCTACAAATCCAAGTTAATCTGCTTTATTGAAATCACCTCCAGAGCTGATATAGTTTCATTAATGTCATCATTGCTCAAAACCTCCTAAGAACCTTTTTAGGAAATCCTTCATTGCCACTTTATAAACTAATCAAGAAAATCCATTTTATCAATTTTTTAAAACCTGTAAATCCCAGACTGAATTGTTCCAAATAACCATGGCTGTTTCTAATACTTTAAATCCAAATATGAGATATTCTCTTATTCTTTTTTACATCTCATTTTTACTAATTCTATTTATTTTACCTAAGAGGTATAGGAATAAATGAATTCTTTTGCTATTTGGACTATTACTAAATTCATTTCTAAGATCCAGACTTTGCCACCTTTGAAAACTTTCAAAAACATACGACATAGGATCTGAAAGCAAGGCACAAAGAAGAGTTCTTAAGTGTGTAAAGCCATGGCCTTAGCATGGACCTGGGTGGGCAACTCCCAGGGTTTTACTTATGCCCACCTTGGAATGAACGTTTACGTCCCGCTACGTGTAAAACAAGCCATCAATGCACGATAGTCTGCATTCAAAGTGATTGTTGCCAACTACATTCCCAGAGATTTTTTTTTCCAGCCCTTTAAAGTTATAAAGCTCTAGGAACACATGGACCTGGAAGGAAAGCACAAAACTCTGTTTGCTCTTTAGTTTACCAGAGATGTGCCACAACCTTTACAATTCTGACCCATATTCTTGTTCCAGATCTGTCCCAATACCTGGAAGATCTGCTTTGTTTTTCTCAGTCAAATCCTCTTTTTCCTTCAAGGGTGCACCATATAATGCTTCTCTTACAGGTTGACTTTCAAGCCAACATTTGAGTTACCAAAAGCAAGAAGTCATATGAACTTGGCACTGGTTCTTGTCTCCAGCAAAGGTCTCTTACTCAGGAAAGTGGGCACTCCCTGGAAAGCCCTCATCTGCTAAGAATCCTAAAATTATTTCATGTGTTTATAGCTTTTCAGTTTGACTGTACAGTCCCTAAAGTCAGGGATGACCAGTCCATACACACTTCTACCCAATGCTTATGATATTTTGTATAGTATCTATTGCATAGAATTATTGTAGAATTTATATTAAACAGTATGTAAGGTGCTTAGTGACAGTAAATGTTAGCATTATATTATTCAGCTTGTAGCAGGTTCTCATCAAACAGTTGTTGAAGTTTATTTGACCTGAAGTCTGAAACACATTTCTATTCTGCACCATTAATATGCATCTTATGGAAATGACAGAGACTGAAAGGCTCAAATGCTGGTCACTTTAATTTGCATAGGCCACCATAAACATGTAGCGAATCAAATATTAGACCTCGCTTGCTCTGGACTGTGGAAATTGCTGGCAGACATGATACTTGCAGTGTAAATACAGGTCTCTGTCCAGCCAAATGCTATGACACCACTGGGCCAACCTGACTCAGAGTCTAAAACATGTCCCCCACCTCCTACTCCCTCCAGAGCTCTTTAATAATTCATCATAATCCTTTAGTTTCTCCTCAGCAGTCCACAACCCAAGTAGAATCACTGATCATCCAAAAATCATTTATAATTGACTCAAGTCTGTTTACCTAGATGCTCTCCCTTTTCAACAGACTTATCTTCCCATTGATTTCTGGCTAATACAAGCATTGACATCCCTTTGTTTGTCTCTGTCAGGGAGAGAATCAAGGCAGAACCAGAGGTGAGTCTGCAACACTCCCTGTTTTGTTTCTCTGAAGGCTCCACCCCACCATCACATGAGACAGAAGCATATGTTCATTTGGAGAAGAGGTAGCAATAGCCTCACCCCCGTAGTGATGGAAGTGATCCCCAATCTACTATAGGTTTTGGGGCTGGGATGCTTGATCTAGCTGATAAGCCCAAGAATGGTGAGGGCCTTTATTCTCAGTAAACTGAGCCTGCTCAAACAGTCTGTGCTCGGGCGGGTCGTTGATTGGTGAAGTGTTAAGTGTGTGGTGTGAATATGTGGTTTGTGTGGATGTGTGGTGTGTGTGGATAGTGTATATGTGGTATGTGGCACGTATGTGGGGTGTGTATGCAGTCTGGGTGTGAGAGGTGCGTGTATGTGTCGATGTGTGTCGTGTGGGGTGATGGTGGGCGGGTGTGGTGTGTATGTACGGAACAGAGATATTCCATATCGATCTTCACTGCTTCTCGGCTGATTGCCTTGCAAATTAAATACACATGTACACACATACAACAAATATTAACGTCAGGCAATAAAAGGTGGTAAAGAAGCAAGGAGCTACCCAGACAAAAAAGTTCCTTCCAGGTTGGGAGCTATGGGATGGCTGCCTTGGGGAGCCCTGGCCGAATCCCGAGAGATGACTTAAGGTTAAGGATGGGCAAAGAGGATGCAGGCAGAGAGGATGGGATGGGAGTCACATAACTAAGGTACAGGAACCAAACAAAAACAATGTCCACGTAGAGAACGGTGACAGGTTTAGTTGGCTGGAGGATCAAGTAGCAAAGGAATGTACCACTTCATCATCTTGTCTCTCTTGGAGAGAAAAAAACAAATTTATACTTGAATCCTGCATAATCCTCTTCAAAAAACTTTCCCCACTTCTGAACTCGGCCTTCTCAGAGCAAGTATGAAAGAAGAAACCAGACCCAGGCCATTGGCCACGAAACAAAACTCCCTTTGTTCCAGCCCCAGTTGCCTCCTAAACCTCCCAAGGAGGACAGTTTCCTGAAACACTTAAGACGGGAAAGAAGGCAGGCCGTCAGCTCGCACGAGCACCGATGCGCTCAGACAGACTCATTAAAAATCAGTTGGCAGGCTCCACTCAGCAGCAGAGCAGCCTGTACCCATTCGATGGCCTCCAGGTGTCCCTTTGGACAGAAGGAAAAACACAGGGTGTCTCCATCCCTCTCTATCAGTGCACTGAAGAAGGCCACAAAGTAAGGCACAGGGCCAAGAGAAGCCCTTCCCAGCATCCCAGGCTGAACAAAAGGCAAGCCCCCTCTTCCCCATTCAGGCAGCTCCCGGGCAAAACCTCCTCCAACGCAGGCCCCTTCAGCCCTGGCTGGGCAAGCCGGGGCCCCGGGCATGACCAGCTTAGCACCAACCCTGTCAAGTGTTTCATATTTTTACTGAAAATCCGCCTTAAATGCTTCATCTTCAAAAGCTAATCTTTCCAGTTTTAGGTAGGCTTATCTGTTTATTCCCCCACAAAAGAAGGTAATGGAATCACCACTGGATGTCAGAGCAAAAATGGGGGGATTAAAATGAAAAACAGCTTTAAAGTGTGACAGCGCTGCCCATTCAGGGAGTTAACATCCCCTCCCAAAAGCCTTTGAAAGATCACAATATGTACTTCCAAATACATAAAATTACTCCTTTCAGGTGGTGCAAACCCTGAAGGGTTTGTTGTTTTTTTTAAATTTAATTGCATTCCAGGGTCCTGGATTTCTTGGTCTCCTACACTCTCTATAACTTTAGCTTGGGGCTCCTCCTTTTCCTCTGTTTTCCTTTTCTCCAATCTATAATCACCCCACAGAAATAACCAGATTAAAACTGGGGGGGTGGGGGAGCAGTAGGAAAGGCTCCACACCCACCCGCCCCTTCCTCCTGCCGGCGTAAGTATGTGATCTTCAAAAGTCACAATAAAGAAAAGCAGCTCCTGCAACCAACCTTTGCAAATGGACAAGGAGGGACAGGCCACAGAATGTGGGCAACTATGAGAATGATCTGCCCAGAATCCAGTTCCTTTTGGTCCCCATGGGTCCCTTTGGGTCCCAGTACTGCTGTAGCCATTGTGGGGTTTACACCATGAAACACAGAGGGCTGAAGATGCTCTCATTTAATGAAATGCCGTCAATTTTAGTTTTAAATTGTTGACACACACCTCTTTGCCACCACTGTATATCCACCTATCCTCCCTTCACATATATACAGACCATGATTTTACTCTGGGGACAGGTCTTTCCTTTGATGGTTACAATTTCAGTATCTGACATTTAGCAAGTGTCTTACATTTTCCCAAAACGAATTAATCCCAAAGCTAAAGTTAGCCCTAGTAACCATTCCCTGAGATTTTGGAGGATTTTTAATAATGCATTTTGGAGGTAGTTGTTATTTTGTATATTCTTTGGTAATTGTCCAAAAACCTAGAGGCTGATTGATACCCTCATGAGATGCCCTGTCTCTTTCCTATGCCTGGTGACCTATGACGGAGCTTCAGTCCACAGCTACTGGAGTGGGTAAGACTTAGAAAATGCATATCCACAGCTTTTCTCAAACCTAGAGGGTTAAGGGTCTGGGGCCCAGTCAGAGAGGCAGACGAGGGGTGGAGCAGGAGCGTTGGGGACAGGTCGGCTGCGTGCCAAGCTGTCCTGCTGAAGGATGTGAGATGCAGGGAAGAGGAGCCCATGAGGCTCAGGTGTCAGGGAGCAGCCCTGCTCTGCCTAGAAAAGGTGGCAAATAAACCTTGTGCTTCCTTTAATCTGTGCAGCCTCTGAACCACTTTGTCTCCAGCAGAAGGGTGGAAATGAGTCAACACAACAGAAATGAGATCCCCCAGAGTCATACCCCACACTCGGAATCGGTGTGAGCAGACATCAGAGCCTGGAGGATTTTAGCCTCCTGCCTTTGAAACCTCCTCTTCAATAGGAATGATTCATAAACTAAACTGACTCTGCAGCAGCCGTCTCAGTGATATTCCCAGGAGGGCACCGTAAATGAAAAAAACCTAAGCTTGAAGGATTAAGGATTCATCTTACCCTGCTGCCTGGAAACTGAATTCCCTCAAACTTCCTCTGGACAGTTTCTTATAATAACCACTGTTTCACCTCTCCTCACCTGACAGGTAGGCCCAGCCTTCTGAAGAACGACCTGGCCTTGAAGGCTGTCTAGGGGCCCACGGTAAAAAGCAGGGAAAGCAGAGGTCAAGGGGCCCAAACTGTCTGCAGACGTGCCCTGCCTGGAAGACAGCCTGGAGCCACAGAGCTCAGGGCCACACCCTCAATGCCCACGGGGGCGGGATGTAAATCAGTGAGGAAGATGGCTGAGGGCAAGATCCTACTCCTGGTGCGGGCTGAGTGGACTGGGGTAGACAAGGGAGCTCAGCCCTCTACACATGGGCCGGCCAGGGCCACCACAAGAGTATCATTTTAACAGATACTTTATCAAATCCCTCCTAGGTGACAGCGGCTGTTGCACACAACAGACATGTGAATAAAAGGGTGAACAAGACAATGAAGACCCCTGCTTTGGTGAAGCTTGCCCTTAATAGTATGGTGAAATTTTACCCAGTATTGCTAGATCTTCAGAATTTTCAACCAAATTTGGACACTTAAAATTGTGTGAAATCATCTCATTTTAAACACTGAAATTAAAGAAAAAAGAAAAAACAAACACTATGCAGACCAGACAAAAATATGCCTGTGGGCTGAATCTGGTCCACAAGTCAAATTCTTTAATCTCTGACCTAGTTCTTCTTAGTTTTTCATTTTTTCTGAGAAGACTCGTCTTGCCAGGGGTCCTCCTTAGGGTAAATGATTTTCACACCACTGTTCAGCTTGTTGATGATTATTTTTTAATAAAAAGTATTATGATTATTTTGACAGAGCTATCAACAAAGGATTTTTTTAAAATACTGAACACCTGAGATTTTACTACTCACTGTTATTTTAATACTTCTCAACTATAACCATCCTCTTAACCATCTCTACTGCCCAGTAAAAAAAAGGCGCAGGCACCTCAAATTTTGCTGAAGCACCAGTTCTGTTCAGTCTCAGAACCCGACATCATGGTACACTGCAATCTTACCTCCATGGTATGTGTTTTTCCCGATGAAGTCTGTCCATATGCAAAAATCGTCCCATTATAACCTTCAAGGACATCTGCAAGCCAGAAAAGAACAGATACAATTAACCCATTACTTTGATCATATTCATATTTTTAAATTACATTATCCAAAAGGCCCATCTCATTTTTTAAACAATTGATGTTTTTCAACTCCACTTGCACATTAAGTAGAATTGTGAGATAAAAGCAGAAATGAGGGCCTCTACCACTCCACAAATAAAGAGAAATGGACTCACATTCCTGCAAAATATACTACTGTAGGAGGAGGCAGACACATTTTCTCCCAGTAACGTCAAAAGTAGGACAGGTATCAAGCAGTCCATTTTCCTTTTAGTAGAAAGATACTTGAGTTTTCTTCTCTAAGTTGATCTCTTGAGATCAGTCAGGGGAAAATTATCCGTGCCCTGCGTCTCTGGAGTGAGGTGCAGAATAGAATTTCTTTCCTGGAGATCTGATTTGGGCCCAAGCAGGCTCCTTGGGGAGGTTTCTTGTGAAGGCTGCACCAGAGCCCCTTTGGAGGCAGAGTCCAGAGTTGGGGGACAGGGCCCCACTCTGTAAACTGAGCCACACAGTGACGATCCAATCAGCCCAGAAACCGTTGGGGCCCTGACTCAAAGTTGATGCCTCTGTTTTGTTAGCGACTATGCTAGCAAGACAGCCCAGGCATCCACGGCGGCTGGCTCTCTTTCAATGTACAGTGAGCGCGCGGTGCACAGTCCCGCACAGGGCAGGCCGGCTTCCACAGGGACGGAGAGGCGTGTGATGGAGGCTGCTTTGCACAGATTATTTTTCAAAGCAGCATAGGTAATTAGAATCTATTATGTGCTTGTTTCCCTCGACCCTCCTTTACCCACATAAACCTCATGGAAAGAGAAAGGATGCATAGATAATCTCCCTGACCCACCATCTCTACATAAGAGGAATAAGTCCTCACTCCTGAAAGGATGGTGCAGGCAGGAAGAGGAGCCCCACACTGAGGTGTCCTCTTTCAGGGCCATGGACCCCCCAAAAAAAAAACAAAATCAGCCAAGCAATCATCTCCATCTATTTCAGATCCTGATTAGGTTTGTTTGGTTGGTGGGTCTCTCCGAATGGTATGACGCCAGTTAGTTTTTGTTGTTTGGTTGGATTTCCTAAAAAAGTTTAAACATACATTCTACTGATCTAAAGTTAATAAAGCGTGAACTGAGAACAGAAAAGAAAGTGGGATTTTCCTTTAGGAAGCTAAAAACAGAAAAATTAAGTGGCAAGATTTTTTAAAATCCTAGCAGCCCTCAAGAGTTTGCATCAACCTATACTGAGAGAGAATGTTCACACTTATCAGACATCTGGTACTGGTTTCCCTGGTAACGGGGGAAGCAAAAACTTGAAGAAGACATTAAGAATCTTCTCAGAAAGAGTCTTTTTCTTTCTTTCCTTTTTTTTTTTTTTGTTTTGACAGTATGTTTACTAACGCTAGTGGCCAATGGAACAAGGAAGGACTTAGGGTAGAAGAAGTAACAAGAAGCAGCCTAGGCGGGGCTGCTTTAGCTCACTGGAGAGTCAGAGAAAAAGGGGCCTTGGAGACAGGGTCAGGGGGTCAGCCCGGGGCAAGCTACCACTGCCCACTGCTCCCCTCTCGCAAGTCTCATGAGGACCCTTAGAGCCTGGGAGATGCACGCTAGTGGCGGAAGGAGAAGGGGAAGGAAAAGGTGCGGGCATGCTCACGGGAAGGAAACTGTGTCCCTTTAGTTGTACTTTTAAAATTCCATATTCATGGCACAAACAACTCCAGACAACTGGAATTCTAGCCCTAAAGCTTCAATCATAGCACTAAAGTTTCTAATTACTAGAAATTAAACATCTCTCTCAAACTGAAAGGGCTTCCTTAACTTAAGCTCCTGTACAGGAAGCACAGATGCAAAACAGGTGTAAGGAAGCCAAGACCAAGGACCCAGCTCCCTTTGCTCCTTGTAATAGGCAACCGGCCACCCTTCAAAGGCACATGTACACAGGAGGTGGCTCTGAGCAATCTGCCACACCCTAAAGAAGACTCAGCTCAGAGTCTGAGCCCTGCTGATAGAAAACCCACACGTGTTTCTTCCTCTGCAGAAAGGCAGGGGGGCCAGGACATTGGATTAGGCCCCTCTAGAAGCGCTCTGGCCCAGTCCAACTCTCTGAACCCACCCTCACACTAAGCAGAATGCACAGTCCTACCAGCTCCTATTTGGTTGTTGCTCACCAAACATCTAGGGGTTAAGGACTGGGACATATACAGGAACTTGCTGTGGAGTAAGGAGCTGAGGGGTACATGGGACTGTGTACCTAGAGAATCTGATTGCTTGATGCTGCTATTTCAACAGTGTGCAGTACTGAACACATAAACAAACTCTACTTGGCCTTTAAGGTCTTTCTTTAAATTCATGTTACAATTAATTCATTGTTGAAGCAACTACCTCTACTGTTCAAGGTTGAACGGAGCTGATGGCTGCGCTCTATCAAGTCAATTCAGAATTAGAAGGTAATGTTAAAAGAAAAGAAAAAGCTCTCTGAACCCAGTGTGCTCTATTTTCTCCCAAGCTCTTATGTTTATTTGTTTACTCTAGGTATGATTATTAGTGGAGAGGAGAGGCAGGGCAGAGAGGGAGCGCAGCACAAACAATGCATTTGGGGGTTGAACCGCTGAGATTCAGGAGATAGGGAAACTAGAGAACCCGCCAAAGAAAGGAAGAGCAGGCCTGTGCTGAGCGCTGCACTGCGCCACACAGCCGGCCCGCCCCGACTCTAACAGAGGCAGTCCACAAAAAGGCACTTCATCACGCTGAACGACAGTTCCTGGGCCCAAGGAGAGCATTTGTTTCAGGGTCTCTGCCATAACGAAACAATGATTTCTATGTGCCAGCCACAGAGTGAGGAACCAGCTCAGCCAGACAGAACCTTTCTTTGTGATGGGCTCCGGCGTGATGTGACCCCAGCTCGCACCACAGGGGCAGCACCCCACGAACACGGCGCCCGTCCTTCTAGTGGCCAAGCAAAGCTCCTGCAGAGAGCAGGAGGGAAGAGGGGAGTGGGATACTTGAAAATATTTTTGCTTCTTGCTGCAGTCTTCAAAAGCCAAGTTTTCTGTTCTAAGCTTTGCTAGTTCTGAGTTCAGGTCTTGCTGGAACAGAACAGTTCTACTGTCAAGTAAGAATTTGGGAAGGATGTAGTTATATCTACAGATCAATGTTCCTGAGGAGGTGGACCACCCCCCGCCCCCCGCCCCGCCACCACCAGCTTTCCAGGTGAAATGGTGGGCTGTCAAGAGCAGCAGGATCTCTGGCAGTAGTGGCTGACAAGTCCTCCCTGACCTGGAATCCTAAGGCTTTTGCCAGTCAACCAAAGGACTCAAGCAGGCCACAGGCAGAGGCTGTAGAGGCAACAGCAGGGCTAATCAGCCAGCCTGAGGGCCACCCTGAGGCTCAAGAACTGCAGTTTCTGTTCTCTCCTCTACCTTCCTCCCACCCCTATTCCTATCCCTATCTTTTTGCAATGCTTGGTTAACAGTCCACATGGCTGACAGAAAAAAAACAACTCATAAAATAATTGTTATTGCACACTCTTATGGGCCCACCAGAAAAGTGGAGGAGACAGTGCAGAAAAACCTAGGTTAAGTCAGACAAACTCAGGCTCAAGTCCCAGTGCCCTCTGTGCCCTCGCTGACCTGGCCGAGTGGCTTCACCTCAAATTCCCCTTCGGTACAATGGGAAAAATAATGCTCGCATCCCATAGAGCTGTTAAGATTTAAAATGTAATAACACATATAAAGTGCAAAAAGGGTGCTTGATACATAATAGTTGGTAAGTAAATATATTTCTCCTTAACAGTTATATAGAGCATAATAATAAAATAGACCTGATAATATCCTAAGCTTAAAATTCTGCAGTGGCTCTACACTGCCTGTAGGATAATGCACATCAATTTACACCAAACTCTGATCCAGTTCAACTCTTTTTAAGTCTCATCCCCCATGCACCCTGTTCCACGCTAAGTTGACAAAACACACTGTATCCTTTGTGTCTTTATGCTTTTGCTTTTCTGATTCCTTCTGCTTATACAGCCCTTCTACCATCCTTCACACCCAACCTTTCTGAGAATTCTCCAATTCCCTTCCACATCCACCAAAACCAGTATCAAGTGACTTTCTTCTGTGCTCCCAAAGCACTGGCACACAACCACCTAAAAACTCATAATATCCATCTGTATGATAATTATGGATGCATCTACCTCTTATAATCAAAAATTCTTGCAGCATCTTACATATCTTGGTGACTCCAGTCGCTGGCATTGCTTACCACATGGTAAATACTTAATATACTTCATAAGGAATGAGTGAAAGAAACAACCAAATGAATGATGTTGAAAGAAATTAGATCTGGAAAACAAGAAAATGACCTTCTCTAGCACTGGATAGTCTACATCTAGATAACTAGGAAGGCAAATGCCCAGAGTGACCTCTGTAGTCTGGGCCGTGGTTACTCTACTTCAACAACAGAATCCAGTGACCATGGTTTTTAATTCCCAGATGTTCACAGGAACCTTCCTATTTACCATACTGGTAGTCGCAAACCCTATAACCTCTTCTAGAAGAAATGGAGGGAAATTCTACATATTCTCCGGACAACATTTTGAAAAACATACACCCGACAAAGATGAGAGTGTGGGAGAGGCCAGGACTCTACAACCAAATGTTTGGAACATTTTTTTAAAAAAGTCAATGAAGTTGAAGGGAATGAGAAAACTGAGAGAGAATGAAGTTGCTAGGTAAAAGGAGTCTTCCTGATCTCAAAAACATTAAGGGTTTAGACAGACTGAAAATGAAAGCTCCCCAGTCCACCACGTTATTATGAACCACGTAGACAGTGGCGACCTTCACAAGCCATCCGATTCCTTCTCGGCCCCTAGTAAAACGGCGCCCACAGCGCCACCTTTCATTTCTGACTTAAATACAGCTTGTCACCCCACGAGCTACCTCAGCTGTACCGGACAATCTGTCCCAAGGCGTTCTTTCTTAGATACCTACGTTTGGCCTTGCTGAGGCAGAAATACATAGCCACTTCCCCTCACACTGGCCTCAGTGGCTATTTAACAAAGTTAAATCAGCTCTTCATCATCCCTCCATCAACTTCTCTTCAACAGATACTAAGGTACCCTTTACTGTTAGAGAACAGGCCTGTTTATGTAATATTTATGGTGCCTGAAAAATGTATGTATTATACCATGTCAGAGCCTAATTTTATTGTAACTGGGTTTCTTTGTGGCTCACCATATACTGGGTCTCAAGTAACCCACCGTTAGGTCGTATCTTCCTGAGGGCTCCCCATGGACTACCTGCTTCTAACATTTCATACTGTAGAAAAATCCAAACACTGAAAGGGACACAAAGTTCTCTAGTAAATAAAGACTCAAAGATTACTGTTACTGTTTGTTAATCACAGGAGTTTTTTTTAAGGGTGTTTCTCTATCTCTAATTACAATGCCAATTTAGGGAGGGTGGGGGTGTATTTAGATGGCTCTCCTGCTTAGCACAGCACGTGGTAAATACTCTTTGGTTATGATAATGAAGGGGGGAGATAAGGAAGGAAATTTTGGCTCATAAGTGATTAATTTTACTTTAATAAAAATATGAAGGGTCGGATAATAGAGGGGAAGTAGGGCTGACTGGGAGCAAACTAGAAGTACATGCTCCAAAATGAGAGAGGAAATGTGTTTAGATAGAAAGAGAAACAAAAGAGTAGGAGAGAAGACAAAAATTGCCACCAGTACTAGGCCCATATTATTAATTCAAAAAGAGCTCAAATTCAGGCATATTTTTTGCCTTTTAGTTTTCTATCATAATCTTACCGTGAAGACCTTACAAATTAATTGATGTCTGCAACAAGAACATGAATAACCATACACCTCAGCAAGGAACATTTCATACTGCCAGAGACGGTCTCCCACGCAGGTACCCAGGGTCAGAATTAATCTAACAGATGTACCCAGGACTGATTTTCATGAATTTCAAAGTGTTAGGTTAGTCATCTCAGCTTCTAAAAATAAGTAGATCTAACATGACAGGTGTTTTTTAAATTTTGTTTTTATTTTTTGCTCTTTAAATCCAGAGCTATCTATAAAGGTGGCAGCATCAAGGCATTTGAAAGCACAAGTGCAAAAGCATTCAAATTTGAAAGCAAGGATTTAATGATGAAAAGCAAAGTAGCAGGAGATGCCCCTCAGCTCTGTGCAGATGGTAAGCTCCGCAAGGCAAGCTCCAACCTGCCCCTGATTTGAAAGGGTAAGGGGGGGGGGGTGACTTGTAAATTGCTTCATCTCCCTGCTGTTATTATGACACAAATCATTCAGGGCCAAGGCCAGTCCCAGGGAAAAGGAGAGATCGCCAAGACACAAATTTAGGCTGCAGGCTACCTATCTGGAGGAATAAATGTGTAGCAACAAATGTCGGGATCTGAGTGGGATGATTGAAAGTGGGTGAGAGGAAAGTCTAATTAAGGAACGCTGGGTAGCAAAACCAGCTCAATAACCAGCACGTAAGGGGATTTTATGACACTGTAGAGAATTTCTTGATGCACAAGAATTTTCCACATTCAAAGCTTCTTGTGAAGAATCGGAGGCACCAAATAAATCAACCGAAAATGGACAATTAGAGCATCAGGTATATATATATTTTTCTTTTTGAAAGGAAAAAGGAGCTCCTTTACCTGCAGTACTATTTTAAAATCATTACAGAAAACGTGTGATCATAGCTTACCTTGCTTTGAAGTTCCTAGATGATAAAATAGCTCTTCCAAAAAGGTGGCAAAAAAACTAAAAAAACCTTCTTGGAAAGGAGGTATAGAGAGGTTAAATACCTTGCCTGACATCACAGCAAATCAGGCCCAGAGCTTGAGCCGTAATTCGGGGTTTCCAATTAGCAGGCCTCTGCTTACAGTCAAAGCACATTGATTCTTAGGCTGCAAATATCACTTAATGTTTTCAATTACTCTGAAAGGCCCAGAAGGAAATAAAGAAATAGCACTTACCTTTGACAATTTGCTTTGCACACGCACTGTAAACCTGCTCTTGGGTCGTGCTGGGAGGCAGCACTCTATCGAAGACATATGGCTTCCCTTGCTAAAAGGGGAAGACAAAAGAAAAAGAAGGGCAGAAAAAAAACATATTAAAAATTAGAAATAAAAAGCACTAATAGTAGTAGTCAGCAACAGACACTAAATGACCAACCCTATTCTTTAAGACAGTCCTTTTCTAAGACTAGGGAACTTTATAGAGTGAACCATACACACATCGTGTTTATATGTTACATGCTGAAATTCTGACAAAAGAAAGAAAAAAGAAAGAAAAAAGCATCTTTCTTTTTTTTAACTTCAACGATTTTTTCTGATGAAAAATAGGTTGGCGCATCATTCACTAATTTGAACTAATATTGATTTATTGAGAGCTTACACTGAACCAGGCACTAGACTAGATGCTGCCCAAATCAGAACAGTCCTGCCCATGTAAAGCACTCAATCAAGTGTGGCAGATAGCTAATAGGCAAGAAAGCAACCACAGGGGAAAATGCAAAATGCCTAAGTATAAAATAATGGGACCGAATGGATAGAGAAGGCACAGCAGACCTCGCCGAAGAAGTACCAGTTAAGTGGATCTTTAAAGGATCAGAAAGACCAGGGCACAAGAAGAGCTGTGGAAGAACATTCCAGAGGGTGGAGAAGACAGAAGGGGCCTGAAGGTGGTAGATACAAGAGGAAAGCTGGAGCCGGTTCATGCAGGGCACGACTAGCCAAGGTCGTGTGCTGGGATTGTACTCGACGGGGAGACGTGGCCAGATGTTAAGAAGCTGCTCTCCTTAGAAAGATGTTATTGCTTTGCGTCCCACGGAATCCTAGTGTTTTCTTCACATGCGTAAGTGGTGTCTTAGCTGGGTGGAGGCTTCTGAGACAAAGGAAGCCCTTCCTTACAATTAATCAAGTGATTTCCAAGTGTGGGGTCTTGGGATTTTGTTTGACTCTGGGCCACGAGAATCAAGGATGTAACTGTCAGACAGGACTGGGAAGCTCCACATGGCACTGTATGAACGAACCCTGACACCCAATCGCTCAACATTCAACAAGGAGTTATTGGGCATTTCCATGCTAGGCACAGTGCTGAGCACTAGGAGACGGGATGGGTAAGACAGACACAGTCTCTTCCTGGGAGAACCGCTGTAATAGCACCTTTTCCGCAACAATGCCACCCACAGCCTGATCCCCCCAGGTGGCCCTTCAACTTTATTTTCCCCAAGTGGTCCGGGGAGGGCGGGAGGAGAGAAGGGAGAAAAGAGGAGTGCCCAGAGCCACCTTCACCCCCACCCTGTGCCTCCTACGCATGGCTCTGGACACTAGGAACCACCCAAGGACAGTCTGACACCTCAGAAAGATAACAGCTTGTGAGGGACCCAGAGACAAGGCTTGTTACATCCTTTAACCTTCACACAAAACGAAGCACACAGCTGTCGGATTGGCCTAACGTTTACTTATTTATGACGAGGGCAGAGCTGCACACAGGTAAAGTCCATTGTGTGTTAGGTGTTATGCTTGAGCTTCAGTCTTTGAAAACAGGGTTGAGCCAACGAAGTAAAGAAGCTACTTCCAGCTTGCAGTAACTTATTTCAAACTGGAGAAAAAATGGGAGAGTTTCAAGGTACCATAAAATGTTGGTTTTCTATAAAGCAGTGGAAGTGATTCTGTTAAAATTTTGGAAAGAAATCATTTTCTGACACTTCGTTCCCAGCAAGTCTCGTTCCATAAGTGAACCAAGTATTTGGTTGAATAACCAAGAGATTATTCCTCACCACGATCTATTGCCAACTATCAGTCCAGTACATTCTTATTAGCTTTATCCATTTGTAAAGCTCAACTAAATGCAGCAGGGAAGAAGGTAAGAATAAAACATTCACAGAGTTTGCCTAAGTATCTGTCACCCATTGAAACTTCTGGAAAGAAAATGCAGCTTAGCTTAATTACAAAAAATCCACTATTTCTCCAAACTTGATTATGATCAGTAAAATCAACCATCCCATTTACAGCATGACCCTGCTTTGTGTTTTAGAGAAAATGCACTTAATACAGCAGGAAAAATGACCTATTACATCATAGCACATGGTACAAAAAGATAGGACACCCCGATATTGCCCTTAGACTTGAAACATTTTTGATATGTATATTATACTTTCACTTTAAGAGAGGTAGAAGGCAAGAAATCTCTACTCATTAAATGTCATTTACCAAATGACAAAAAGATCATACAACATTTTTCCATAAGCCAAAGTTAAATCCCAGCAGAAGCTGCCTTTAAGAAAAGATAACATTTAGAAAATGAGACTTATCTTGCCAGATTAGCATACAAAGTAGTGAAAAACATAAGCATTGTTTATGTGTCTTTTCACGCATGCATCAAGTTGGCTACAGACTTATTTAGATGAACCTTAGAGTCTTGGACTTATAATTTAGCCAGTATTATTTTCAAAGGACTGATTTATGGAATCACCGTACCAGCTGTATATACAAATGCCATTAAACAACACCAGCAAAGATTTGGTGCTTTGGTAATAATGGTCGAGAAGTCTCACAAATCCTGGCCGAGACTTAGGCAAAGACCTGTCTCCCAGACAAGGCTGTTCATTTCTGATCCCACTGTGGCTGAGGGTTTCTGTGGGCCGGCGTTGGGCTCACTGGCTCTGGTTGTCACTAAATTTGTAGCCACGAAAAAAGTTTTGGGATTACATTTGAATACAGGTGCTGGGTGCTAACACTTGACACTGAATGATGAGGTCACCATTTACTCCTTCTGGAGGCACTTTCCTTTCCAGCCACCTATGCAGCGCAGGGGTCTCTGCGACCTCTCTGGCTACTCTCTGTCAAGAGTCCTTCGCTGGTGTCTCCTCCAGACGTTTAACTGATGGTGTGTCCTACACTCAGACCTCAGCCTCCTCTCTGTCTACACTGCTGACCTTCACATAATTTAAATGGACACCTCAGCCTCCATATCCACCTAGGCTTCAGATTCATGTACTCAGTTGCCTTCTGGACGTTCTTCACTTGGATGTCCATGAGCCATCTCACACTTAACAAAAAAGCCTTGGCCAGCATGGCTCAGGTAGTTGGAGCATCATCCCATAACTGAAAGGTTGTGGGTTCGATCCCTGGTCCAGGCATGTACGATCCCTAGTCTGGGAGCATACAGGAGGCAACCAATTGATGTTTTTCTCTCACATTGATGTTTCTCTCTCTCCCTCCTCCCCTCCCTCCCTCTCTAAAAGCAATGGGAAAGAATCGTCCTTCGGTGAGGATAAAAATTTTTTTTTTTCCACTTAAAAAAGAACCAGCAAGCCCTCCATATCTAAGTAAGAACTGCACCATCAATCACCCAGTTACTCTGACTAAAATCATTCAGTAGATTCCATAGATCCCATATCTGAAATATATCTTAAATTCTATCCCATCTCACCATCAACACCACACGCCCTTAGTCCAGGCCACCAGTGTTTCTCATCTGGACAACAGCAATAGCCTCCTCACTGGTCTTCTTGCCTCCATTCTTGCTCCTAGCAATCCAATTTCCACTGACTAGTGACGAGGAGCATTCTAGACTGTAAATCAGATGACCGTATCTCCTCCCTTAACCTCTGTTGGCCCCTATTGTCCCGGACCGTCTGCACGCTCCGCTCCCTGCGTGCCCCTCCACCTCACGACAGGGCAGCCCACCGGACTTCCTCCTGTACCATGCTTACTCCTTGGCTCAGAGACTTTGCTCTTACCTCTTCCTCCCCCTTAGAATTCTCTCACTGCAGATCTTCACTTGGCTGCTCTTTGTCACCCTTCAGGTGTCAACTCCAACATCTTCCCCTTTGAGGGCCACGGTGACCCTCACTGAGGCAGCCCACCGGGCACCACTATCACATTACCCTGTTTGGTTTGCTCCACAGCAATTTGTATGTGACCTATTTTCAACCAATTAAATGAACCACTATAATTAAATCATGTAACCAGCTAAGACAAGCCATAGAACTCCCAAGACCTAATTACATGTAGGCAGACCTGCTGCAATTTATAAAGGGAATCTGGACAGGACACACTCCACGTGCGTCGCAGCTGAAGATAAAGTCCCCCAGCTTTGCCACGGAAGCCTCCACGGAGAGCAGCGCGAACTGCAGACGAGCAGAGTAACTAAAGAACTTACCACACGCAAAAAAATAACAGCAGATGGTCCTTACACTTTTATAGTTAAAATTTTTTAAAAAATCAAACCACCAGAATTCCTATCAGGCTGTTGAGCGCAAACTGTCTGTGCACCATATGGCCTTCCTATTAATACATTTGACCTGTTATCCAACAACTGGTCCCCAGCCAGACGGAGAAAGCGGAAGACCCACTTAAGGGTTTAGAAGATGGGCACCAGGAGGGGTGTTAGGGAAGCGGAAAGTAATACTCACCAAGAGGAGATCATCGAGTAATCTAATAACAATCCCTAAGACCAACCGAGGAGCGTGGCCAAAGGGGGCCAATGATTGAAATGACTTTCCTTCTGTCTTTATTAAGAAAGAAAGAAACAAAAAATGACAAATTTCAACAGCAAGGTTTAAACTCACTGTGTAGAATTGCCTTTAAATACTGAGGAGTGTTAGGAAGAGGAACTGATTACGGAGAAGAATCATTAACTCTCCTCCCCAAGTGTCTGTGTGACTTCACTCCTAAAAGTCCAGGAGGTAAGTTCTTCCGGCCTATGCTAGCCTCCAGCTGTCCACCAGCGCCATCACCAACCACTGCGGGGTCAAACCGTTTTATATGTTCATTTAATTTTTACAGTAACTCTCTGAGGTGGGTGTTATTATTCCCATTCCACAAACTGGAACACTAAGACCCAGTCACATTATCAGCTCTATTACTTTGGGGAAATAATTTGGAGGCTCTGGTTTCAAGTGTTCTTTTTTTGGGCGGGAGGGGGACTACTTTCCCCCTCTTTGTTCTCCCTCCAACCAGCCCCCACGCCACCCCCAGCCTATGGACTATGCATATATGTATATATGTTCTTTGGCTAATTTCTTCCAGTTCCTCCCCTTTGAGATCTGTCAGTCT